CCCCCCGGTCTCCAATGGGGGTGCATTAGAGATTTTTCATGGTGGCAGCTGGGCTAAAACATGGAGAATGGGCCATGCAAGAGGTATGGAGGAGTACGAAGAAGAAAGGAGAGAGGCCAAGATAGGGTATGACTATAATCGAATGAGAGAGTTTGACCCTCAATACATGGGGGAAACACCAGATGGAGAGGAAATTGGGGTAGAGATGCTACAATTAGGGAGTTGAAGTTGTCGATTTTTTAGGGAGAAGATGCTAGGGTTAGGAAGTTAAATATTCGATTTTCGAGGAGGAAGATGCACATAGGTGAGTGTACTGGGTGGAGCGATATTTCACAGTGAATGAGTTAGATGGGGATCAGAAGCTCGTGGCGATAGAGTTATGTTTGGAGTGGAATTCCCTAGCATGGTTTCAAGGAGGGAGGCTTATACCCGATCCCATCATAGGAGAAATTTAAGGATTACTTGTTGGAACGTTTCCGGGCCATTGGGAAATGAGACATACACGAGCAATTCTATGTCTGGACTCATGAGGGTATTATCATGGAATGCAAGGAGAGATTTGAGCTATTGTCGAGGAAGCTGGGGTATATTTTTGATGCTGGATTGGAACAAAATTTCATGAAGGGCCTAAAACTCGACATACAGGTAACACTCCGACTATTGAGACCATGGAGATTGAGGGAGATGGTTGAGCTAGTTGAGATAGTGGAGGACAAGATCCATATAGAGAAAGATTAGCAGGAGCAACACCATGGGAAAATTCTACAAGGGTACCTCGACGATCATGACAATGAGGACCTAGACGGTGTCATTTCAGGGGGGTGGTGCTAAATGAGAAAAATATGTGGGCACGTCTAGGGGTCAATTTCAAGCGCCTTACAGAGATAGAGATTGAGGAGAAGCGATCCAAGGAGTTATGTTTTCTATGAGATGAGAAATTTGCTCCCGGATATTATTGCAAGGATTGAACATTATAGATTATCACAGTGTGTGTTGAGGAGGCAGGGGATGAAGAAAGAGAGACAATCATGGTGGAGGAACACCCTCACTTTTCCACATTGAGAAAAAAACGTATTTTTGAAGAGCATAATTCTTACAAACTGACCTAAGGGAAGATTGATCCTTCATTATTATTATTGTTGGGTATAAATATGGCTTAATAGCTTATGGTTAGGGTTATGCATGAGATTGTGTTTGGGTTAGGGTTTGGGAGAGATGTTCTACCTCTCGAATTGTATGAATTGGGACAGATCGCTCACCTCTCAAATTATAGGTGCTTATTTATGTGTTCATGGGAGTTGTTGGTGTTTTATTATTTTGATTTGATGTTGTTGAAGAAAAAATATTTGTTTGTTCTAATTTTGTGAAAAATTATGCAGATTTCTGTATTTAATCGTATCAAAGTTCTTCACAATTTGTGACTTCGATATAGTCTCATTCAAGTGAAAAGAGGTCTGAAATCCTTGAGAGTTTTTCTTTAGTCTGATATTCATGATTCATGATGGTCAACTACTTGGAAGAGAAGTTAAAAAAATTGGATATGATGAAGGAAGAGCTCTGTTGAGAGAAAGGGATGGGAGAAACTTAGGGAGAATAAAGGTTTGAAGCAGAACATCCTAACCTCCTTTTGATATCATGCAGAATAATAAATGAATTTGAAAGCATGGATTGTTCATTCCTTTGATGGGCGTTTATGTACGAAATTACAGAGGAAGAGAAAGGAAATAAATAACTACAAATTTAAAATAACAAACACGAAAAGTGCCCCTAGCTATTCGCCTGTTAATTATTTATAGATTGTCGATTAATGCTTAGAGAGTAATATGTAGGCTTTTTTTTTTTAGAAAAATATAAATGTGAAGTTATTTTCTTATAAGCAATGAATCTGTATTCTCTCATTTTTCATATCTAGCTCTCCCATTGGTCGTCTTGATCCATTGGCTCTTCAACGCTCTGCAATCCATATATCTGATCTTGGTCTTTGTTCACGTTTTGTTTTTTCTTAGAATTTTGAGATGAACAAAGATGATCTAATGATTCCTCTTTGCAATTTTGAACAGAGCTGCAGTTGAATATGAGAAAAAAGCACGTGCTGAGAACCTACTACAAGGTCAGGAAATGGAGAAAAGTATGATTTCCATTGCTCGTGAGGTAGAAAAGCTGCGCGTTGAACTTGCCAATGCAGAGAAAAGGGCGAGGGCATCAGCTGCAGCTGCAGCTGTTGTTGCTGCAAACCCAAGTATTACGATTCCTCTGACTTCTATCGATATTCTTAATTGCTGTAATGTTTGGTGTTTAAAGCATATAGGTGTTCCTATAGGGTTGTTAACTCTTTGGGGCAAATATTCGTTAGACATTTCTTACATATTTTCATATCTAACTCCTAAACTTTCATATTTACATAATAATACTAAAGAAACTTTAACATCACATCAAAAATATCACTATTAGAAACTTTAGGCGTTGGATATGTAAATGCATAAGAATTGTGTGGTATGTATGTAAATTTTGTTTTTATTTTTTTTTTGGGTAGGGTGAGCCCCTGAACCCGATGCATTGGGATTCTTGACTTTATTTTCAACCAATATGTTACTCATTTGAGCATGAGTTAATTATTTTGATTTTCACATTTTTTTTCTTATGTGGCCTGGAGCATCGCTGATTTGAAAAACCACTCTTTTTGGTTCTCGTTTTTTTCTGTCCGCATTGACCATTCTAAATCAACATCTACAACATCTTCTAACCTGCTTAAATACTTTGAGCCTGACCTTTAGAATTTCTCTACACTCAACATTTTTAACTTTTTTTAATTCATTTAAATCTACTCTCGGTTATTTCTTGCAATTTTAGTTAGATCTTTTAACGACCTTGGTTTGTAAATTTCTATAATTTCGAAGTTTTTTCATGCCATTTGTGATGAATCTTATCAGTCTCTTGCTTTTTTTAAATGCTTCATAAGGCTAAAGAATCAAACTAACACCGAAGAATGCCACCAAAGTTTTCTACTTGTATTTTGCGACCTTTATCTTTTTCCAAACATCAAAATTTTCAGCCTACTTTCTAAATAGTCCAACTTCTATGTGCTGCCAGGTTTAGGATACACTGACGCTTACAGAAATAATACTGGATTGGCTTATGGTGGAAATGCCTATGCTATGGCCTATAATTTGCATCAGGTACCTATCTATTCCATTTACTATTTTTAGACTGGTTTCCTCTTTTGAAAATAAGCAAATTCTGCACTTGTGACAACACTCTTTAGGAAACGGATCAAAGCTTTTTATGAGAATAGTGTCATAATGGTCCTTTGGCCATTTAGATGTTATTTTAATCCCAAAGTCTATAAATGTGACAAATTAGTTATATTTTTTTATTTGGGCAAAAAATTTCTCCCTTTAAAAGAGTGTTGCTGTCTGTATAAAAGAGTTTGAGGATTAATTTAACAGTTCTATGGACTCTGAGGTTGAAGTATTTCCTTGATAAAAGTCGGGGAACTATCGGCACTTTGCCCGGTTTCTGATCAAGTTTTTCTTAACCTATCATGTTATGTAATCTGTCACCAAACTTAAGTAATTACCAGCAGCAGGTTGCTGATGTTACTAAACAGTATGGTCAAGTCCCCGCAGCTCATACAGGCTATGATATTCAGCAGGCTCATGTCACCAGATGAAGACGGCGCACATTGATTGGATATGCTGGTCTGAAGTCTCCAGGTCCGGCTCTTTCAACCATCTCTGAGATCTATAAAATGTATTTTTATTTTTCTGATAGATGCCTTACATCAATAGTTTATTTACTTGTTCTGATTCGTAATAATGGTTCTACTTTATATTGCCAAGTGCATTCATGTGATGGTGTTTGCGCTTTCTGCATTTAGAGTTGTTCACTTCAGCGATGAGTTAATTTTCTTTTTAATTTTTCCCATTTTAACCATTTTTGTAAATAATCTTTTTGAATCATAAGCTTGTGTGCTTGGACATGGTTTTCCAGGGGTGAGCATTATTTGATTAAAATTGAAATTTTGAAAAATTGAATTGAATTGAAACTCATTTCATTGATTTGGTGCGATTTTAAAATATTTATTTATTTTTTGTTTTAATGATTTGAATGTTAGGGTTTCAGTTTTTCAATCATTTTTAATATCAATTAAACCAAAAAATTCAGTAATAATAGGATTTGGAAATTAAATTTATTTAAAAAAATAAATGGAGCATATAACATTTATTTTAGTTTAGGTTAAAATTTTAATTATAAAGAAATGATTTGGAGATGAAAAAATAAATAATGATTTCATTCAGATATGGAACTTTAAAAATGGAACTTTAAGGTTTAATTATCTCCAATTGAAATAAAATTATTTATTATTATTATTATTATTACTATGATTATTATTTTGGTTCCAAATTGAATCGATTAAATCAAAATATGCTTCTACTTGGTTTGGCTTGGTTTAAGGGCCCGTTTGAGACAGATTATTGCCGAAGATGGCGTTTTCAAAATGCCGCCCTCCCATTTGATTATTGCGTCTGTGTTTTTGATTCCGCAGTTTTGGGTTATTGAATAAAAACGGCCGCGGGTTCGACCCCTCGGCGAGCGTTCGCTCGCGCGCTTTTACCCCACTGCCCTCCTTTCTCGTCTCATCTGCCTATCACTTCTCTTTTTCCTTGCCTTATCGCACAAACCGCCTTCCTCCGACCGCCCACGCCAAGCCTCTTTTCCTCTCCATAGCCTCCCCGCCTTTCCTAGCCGCCACCTGTGGGGAGTTCAAGTTCCTGGTCAAGAGGGTTGAGGGTTCCACTGTCGAGCTGTTGCCCTCAGAGTGGGGATGTCGGTTGAGATGAGCAGCGCCATGGGGCGAGGCTTCGAGATCGACCAGATCTCCCCTCCGGACGACGCACAGACCATCCTTATCTGCGCCACTGTATCGGGGATTAGGTGAGCATCGCCTTTGCAGCCATATGCTAGGTTTCAGTCAGTATGAGAAATTATGTTGCCGGCGTATGGTTGAGTTGATATTGACGCTTTGCCATATTTTTGACCTACTTTAGACCAATTTAATGCCAATTTCTTGGAACGAAATCAGGGCTTTTACCTTGAATTATTTAATGAATGATTATGCCTGTGGTTAGAGGAATCACTAATCCAATAAGCTATTTGCAAAAATTGCTTTGCCTTCTTGATAAAAAGCAGAAAAATGTGTTGTGATTCATTACTTGATGGCGAGATTATATTTTTAGTCTTTTGGTTGTGAATGAGTGCCACATTAAATAGATTGCATTTAATATTTAAGCGCAGTTGCGAATAATTATTTTTACTAGGATTGAAATTATCTTTTTGAAAGCATATTTTTGGGTGCTTACTACGCATAGACATTTCATTTGTTCATAGTTGGTCATATTTATTCTGTTAGTTGTAACATAATAAAAGTTTTAGTGCTAGAAAGAAACAAAAATTATGCATATGCAAATGCCTCCAGAATATTTGGATGTTTAAGGGTGTTGACTGGGAGGTACTTGAGGTTAAGGGAATGGCTCGGTTATTGGTTATAATGGATGTGGAAATAGTGTTAGGATGTGATATAGGGGTTAGGAATGAATAAGAGACTAAGAAATCGAGAGCTTCAACTTTTGTGGATTTCTATAGCATGAGATGGAGATGGAGATGGTGTGGATGAAATCTCAATTAATGGAATTTTCTGTCTTTGTAGTGTCAAATATATTGTCAAGTCAGTTTTGTTACAAACTTTACTTAATTGGGGTAGAGTGATCATTTATCTACAAATAACTACAAATCAACTGTTTTAAAACAACTGCCCCAAACAACTAGTTAGCTTATCTGGATATGCTGCTGATTAGTAGCTTATCAGGATAAACTGTTGATCAGTAAACTTATTCAATAAGCTGCAGTTGCCCCAATCAGACCCTAAAAGTCTAGGATTTTTAAAATTTAATTTCATTTAATTTGTCGATTTGATTAATTTGTTAATCGGTTCATTCAAATGACCCACCCGTATCAGCACTCGGATGAGTCCAGTGAAGTTTAGGCCCCAAAATAAAAGAGGAAAAAACTCTTCAAATTATAACCAAAGTATTATGCCTTCATCTCTGATTTCATTTTGTTTGGAATTGATATCTGGTAGGAATTCTTAATGGTAATATTTGCATGCAGTTTGAATCATTCGGTTTTGGTAAATGCTGAAATACAGAAGTACATGAAAGTATGAGAGGGATCCATCAAATTTTTCATCAATTATCAAGTGCAAGCTTGTTTTTCTTTACAGATAAATAAATGATAAAAATTCACTATTTAATGCTTGTTCGAGTTGACATCCACTTTTTGGCTAAATGGATTTGAATTGACAAATAAAGATTGTGAACTTACTATTTCTTAATCTTGCTAACAAAAAAGATTTCCAGTTTGTGATATTCGGAGTTGTCTTTTTAAGATAATTTTTTTTTAAGCTCAAGTTTAAAGTTTGGGCTGGTTACATGATTACCACCTAATTTATAGGTTTTCACATATTTAACACCTAAATTTTATATTTACCACTTAAATTGTTCATTTCTCATTAAAAATAATATTATTTTAAAATTTAAGAAGCGAATTGTACGTTTAAACGGTGGTCTGTATGAAAAATTGAAGCTTAGAAGTTAAAAATGTAAATATATAGGAATTAAATGGTATGTATGTAAATCTTCCTTGAAATTATTTAGGGTTGATACACCATCAACAAAAGTCCAACATCAATCATTAGTCTCGAGGCATGACGCAGATCTCGGGATAGTTTTTTGGGAAAGAAAATTTCAAATTTTAATTAAAAGTCATTCAGAACTTCAATTTTAACAAATTTATAGTCAAATTGATTGGCTTGACGAAACAGATCCAATAGTACCAAAATTAGTTTAATTCAAACCAAATCAAGTTTTGATCAAGCTATTAAACCTTTTTTTTTTCAGGAATATTTGGAAAGTCAAATAGATGTTGAATTTGACGAGCTTACAACTGAATTGAGTGTCTTTCTGAGACGACTCTAACAAGCCCAAGATCTCTCAATTTTGATATCATTAAGACTTAAATGTCCATGAAACATTGTTTGATCGCGGAGATCTCTCCAGACCGTCTGATCAGAGTGGTTCATATTCATTGATTAATTGCAACCGAAACTCTATATAAATAAAACCCCACCCCTCTTTTGAGAAGGGGGAAGGAGGGCTTGAAGCTTAGAGAAAGAGCTGAAGCACAATATCACCTCGTTGTCGACCACTGCTGACCACCAGTTGTCGAACACCGTCGACCGTCACTTGCTGACACCGCCGCTCATTCCTTAAAACACTTTATTTGCACAGTAAATTTGTAGTTTGGAAGATTAAGCAACCATTTCATGCATGTAGGACAAAAAATATACTTGTAATCACTACTTTATAGTGGATTTATTCAGCTTGGTCAGACACCGTTGTTTTTTCCTTTATGGCTTTTCCATGTAAGAAATTCTGGCGTCTCCACTAGTTTTTTTCTTTCATCTGAGTATGCTACATTCTCGTGCAATGCTAAGACAATAATCTATTACTCTACTGCCATGAATTTTCTAGCACACATTAGGATTTATATTTTTAAATTTGCGATTTAGGATTCATAATTGTGCATCTCATGATCATTTTTGTTGTATTAGATATTTATAATATATAAATCTATTCAGGTAAAAGAAGATAACTCAACTTTGTTTTTGCTACCATAAAGAGCTAGAGGTCCACAAACTAAGTACACACTATCAATTTCTATAATATTACTCGAAAGATGTTAAATGCTTGTACCGGTAAATGCGCATTGAACTCTCATTGCATGACACTGTGAAAGACACGAAAAGAAAATTTGAAGAGCTTTGTTTCAATATAAAATTTCAAGTTTTTATTGGTCTCATAAATACTTAATATGTTTCATTTTTTATGCCAATTTTGGTTGTTATAAAATCCCTAAACTATCATCAAAATATTTCTAATTACAATTCCATCCAAATTAAAGGAGCACGAAAAACAAAAAAAAAGAATATATATCAACTATCAAGGAATCTTTCACATGATTAGAGGAAAATTTTATTAAGATGGTAGTGAGACTTGCAATGCTTTATGGTGCAGAATGTTGGGCTTTAAAAGTGAAGCATAAAACTACGTCAAGTGTTGTGGAGATGAGGATGCTTTGGTGGATGAGTGGCTTGAAACTCGGAGACAAAATGTTAAATGAATGTATCCGCAAAATGGTTGGTGAAACTTTACTGGCAAACAAAATTAGAGTCTTTTAAGACGGTGTGATCTCATTAAACGTCGATCTTCTTATGAACTGGTTAGGAGTGTAGATGATTTAGATTCGACTTATGTTAATGAGGAAGAGGTAGACCTAAAAAGACACTCATTTACATATGTATGAAAAATGATTTTAACTTATTAAAATTAAATGAAAATATGACACTCAGTAGAGCGCAATGGAGGAAAAAAATTCTTGTGGCAGACTCTACTTAGTGGGATAAAGGCTTGTTGTTGTCGTCGTTGTTGTTGTTATAATCTTTCACATGAAACCATAATTTTAAATAAGCCTCATATTAGTCTATTATCCATTCAAGTATTTTGATAGACAAAAATGTAAGTATCTAGGAATATTAATGTACAAAGAATACATACTAATATATTCCATTCTCTAATGGATAAATTTTCATAGATAAAATGATAAATATTTTTATTGCTATAGAAATCCTTCTCTTTCCAAAGACAGTTAATACCATAACTAAGAATATGGATGTCATAAATATAAAGAAAGCAATCATTAGGAAAATTCCAATCTTGAAGAAATAAACAATAGCAATTAACAATGACATCTTTAATCTCGATAAATTTGGGTAAACAAAATAATTCACAAACAACATTACC